GAGGCAACTAAACCAACAGTTAGGTTGAGGCAACTAAACCAACAGTTTTGTCCTCAGCGACACAGAAAACAACTCAGACAATTGTGTCACCAAACCAGTTCAATCAGGAGAGACAAGTCAGATGAGGAAAAGATAATCGTTTATTATTAACAGATGATATGTGATGATAAAGTCTAGACAGACTCTTTGGCGCTTGGACTCTACAGGGAGATTTGTAATGGAGCAGCGTCTGCCCTGAGCAGCAGCAAGATTCCCCCCCCCGTGGAGTCCACACACTGGTGGTGTGGTGGCTGATAGAATGATGAGTTGATGGATCTGATGGATCTGTGAAGATAGGCCAACGATGTCATCGTTTTATTGTGCTATTGGATAGAAGAGACCAGCTGATCTAAATAGCTGATATCATGATTGACGGCCTCCAACAATGAGAGCAATGGAATAGAGTGTGTGAGGAGTGACTGGCAGATGTATGAGAAATAACCTACAAGCATACAAGAGTATATTCTGACTGACTGAAGCTACGCTAGAGCTTCATTAGATTGCATTACTTGACTATTCCACGAACAGTCAGCAGCACATCACAGACTTTGACAGCAACACCAGCTCTCAGCTGTCAGTCAGACGCTGTCATGGGGATCAGGGTTTAGACAAATATAGCATCCACAAACGGAATCATCCTCTTAGTTGTGAGGAGGATTTAAAGTTTGCAATACTTCAAGTACAAGAGGATTTATTGTAATATATAGTACTAGTGTACTGCTTTATCCAGGTTAAACTCTTACCTTATTAACCACTGTTGAGCTTTCTGTTGCTTTTGCTGCTTCGTCTGTCAAAGCACTTTATAAACTCTGTTTTTAAATGTTCTATATAAATAAAGTTATTATTATCATATATATATATAAGTGTAAATATGCTCTTTTTATTATTTCCTTTTGTTTTGCTTGCTTGAATAAAAGTATAGAAACCCTAATAATTAAAACTTTACATTTCCAACTGTCTCGTGATAAGTCAGGTTTCTCGCTTGTATAAATGTTTCAGTGATGCTTCAGCTTGTTGTGCTGGCGCTGCAGCTGTAAACAGCCGGAGGGCGGTGGAAACATCCCGTCGGCCCGCCAGCGGCCGTGTTCTGGTTGATGTTCTGACTGAGAGAACAAGAGCTCAGATCAGTCAGAGCGAGGCGTTGCGCTGAACACGGGGCTCGTCAGGATGTGAGCGATACACAAGGAGGAACGATGGCATCTGCTGGGTATCATGACGACGTGTCACATTAAGGATTCTGCGGCTCCTCGGTGCCAGTCAGACTGATGAAGCGGAGCGGAACAAATGCTGGAGGATGCAGATCCTCGTCTGCTTGAGAGGGAAGAGGAAGCAAAGCAGAAAGGAAAGGAGACTAAAGACCGTGGTGCTGCTGAAACTGACCTCCAACGGTTCAGCCGGGCGAATAAATTAGGCCTCGGTCGGCTCCGACTGATGAATTCAGCTTTGATTCAAACCCCTGTAGAATTTATACCCAGACTTTATTCAAGTCTCTGCTTTTTCAAGACAAATTCAGTAGCCGACCAGCAGACTACAGCTTTTTAATTTGAACAGATTTTCAGCCCAGCGTCATGGCAGGTCCTGAAATAGTCCGGAAATGGAGACAACGGGGAAAACGACAAAAATAATGGCAATGGAAAATCAATTAGGATTATTTGTCCTAGTGGACACTCAAATAAAATGCATCTAAACCCAACTGTTGGTGGTTTTGTTTTCTAAACCTAACATTTGTTTTTATGTAATGTTATCTGAAAAAGAAAAAAGTTGAAGGACACAAAAAAAAGGACAATTCGTGTCCCTGTACACAAAACCAATAGATTGCATTTCGTGACCTTTTCACAAGTATTTAGTTATGTATGGAAAATGCGATCTTTTCCTGAACCTAACTAAGTATTTTACCATCTTTAGTTCAACCTAACTAAGTCGTTTCCTGTGAAGGTGGAAGTTTATTTTGAAAAGACTGTATTCATGTAACGAGCGGAACGTGTTGCTGGACTTTCACAGGGAAATGCACAAGAGATGAGGAGTAACTTGTTTTAAGATATATGAACCGTTGTATGGCGACACATTGTTCAGATACATCATCCAACATTTCAGAAGTTCATGTTTGTTTGTGTTAGCCTTGCTGCTAGTTCTGCTAGCTCTTTTGATGGTGCATCTGTGAGGTCATGTTGTCCGTATTCATATTGAGCTTCTCATTTTACTGCTGGACAGAAGTTGTTTTTGAAGTAAGCTGCACATGCAGCTGAAAACTCTGTCGACCTTTTTCTACTAAAGACTCTCCTTGAGTTTCTGTTGGAGAAGAGTGTGTCGCTCCTCGCTGTAGAAGCTCCGTCTGACAGTGAATGCCTCGCCCGTGCTGACCTGTTATCTGACCTTGCCAGGTGTCGATAGTGCTCACTGTAAGCTAATCCATCGGCCTGAAGTGGGAATCAATGCTAAGTGGATGACTTACACTGAGACCCTGTTTGTCTCATTGAGCGATGTCATTGGACATGCAGAGAGAGGAAGAGGAGGAGGGGTGATGAAGAGAACACAGAGCTGCTGATTCATCTGTATATCCATTTATCACTTGAATAATACGCAAACCACAGCCTCCACTCTTTGAACTTACATTTAAAATGGAACTAACGGTCTTGATTTTATTATTTGAGATGAAAAGTTTGAAATCATATCATATCCCAGAATATCCCATGTATCTGGTTCTGCTGCGTCGGTTTTTGATACTTTTTAAAATAAATAAAGCAGTTCGTCATGAGTGTGACAGGTTACAGGAGGTGGATTTCTCTTTTAACAGCTGGAGGACCACAGCTGCTCTTCGTCCAATATTGTCTGTTCCAGACTTCTGTCAGACGTGCGGAGCGAGGTGAACTTTCTCCAGCAGTGAAGCTCACTCTTATCTTCTCGCTAAGATCTAATTAAAGTCGCAGCGTTCAAACGTTTCGGTGAAGTTCTGCTGTTTTGACCTAAAAAATATCAGCTTTTTGCAACTCGGAGCAGCAGCTTGGTGTGGGAGCGGCTGGATGCCAAAGAGCTGAAGCGTAGCAGGAAAAAAAAATAAGAGGAGAAATAACCTCTAACGTCTCCTCTCATTAATATTACACGCTCCTGTCGGTACAATACGCTGGAATCTCAGCCTGCTCCTTTCAATTATTCACTCAGTAAAATCTTTTCTTTCTCGGCCTCCCTTTAAACTTTTCTCTTTTCTGGGTGCTGCTCAAAGTGGAGCGACGGAGGAGACAGAGGGACTCAGTCAGCCAGCACTCAGTTCATTGATTCAGAGTTTGTCCAGTCAGACGTTTCTTCTTAACAGCAGATACAGAAAAAGAGTCTGGAAAGTGTGACGTGAAATATTCCATGATTTATTTCAAATTCCTCACATTAAAATGTGTGCCTGTAATGCATTTGCAATAGGAACATGTTTGCCCACTACTGCAGAGACCTGAGGTTTGATCAGCAGTAACCTCCAGCTTTTCATTACGACAAATATAGTTTGCTGTTTGACTTTGGGAAGCCAGTGAGCGATCATGCGCTTGCTTTAGTGCACTAGCCATTTGTTCTGGCCTGATTTAGCCTCGCAGCTTCTATTGTGACTGTCTACATCTAAAGCTACAACAGATGGTGGTGTCCAGCTCCTGATCAGATCCTCAATAACGCTGATTAAAGATGAGTTACAACATGTTGAATCTCCCTTTGATGCACAAGAAGGTGCATACAGCTTGGGATCCCAGATCAGATCTTTTGAACATGTTTCTCTGGCCTGAAGGAGAGCTGCTGAAGGTGACAGATGATGAAGAAGGTGACGAAGAAGAAATGAAGGAGAAGAATCTAGGGCTGAAATGTTAATTTCCTTAAACGTGAAAAACGGTCCATAAATTGAGAATTTCTTTCAGTGTAGTCAAACTTTTTTTTAGTTTTTTTTACCAGATTGATGCCGCCACCATCAGGAATCTGTCTCTTTGTTCAATAAAAGGGTGCATCCTTTTTTTTTTGCAGCGCCGCTGCTGTGACGCACGGTCACATCCACTCGGGTCAGCATCGGAAATGAACGCGCTGCAACACACACAGGATGAGACCGGATCCGGTGTGCAGAACATACATCCGACAATTAATTAGAAGCGGACCAGAGCTTTCCCCCCAAACAACTCGTCCTCATGCGCAAACCCTGTGTGTCTGTTGATCGTCTGTTTGCTTATTGTTTGGACCAAAGCCAAAAAAAGAACCCGAGGACCTGGACGGGAAATATTTCAGAATTTTGTATTTTAATGATTTGGACTGGTCTGCAATGCGCTCTGAATCAGACCGCTGATGGGAAATGAATAGAGGAAACGAAGAAGGAAACAGTTCCTCATTCAGTTAAAGTTTTCTCTCAACAACAAACCCGCCGCACTTCAAACGTCTCGCGCTGTGGAACAAAGCGCAGCTTGTGAAATCACAGAAGACATGTGGAGATAAATCTGCCTCTCAGGACGCACCGAGACAAGTCGCTGCTGCTCGTTCTCACAGGTCGGATGTGTGCGTGGATGTAAAACGCTGCTTTCAGCAGAGAGCCCTGGGTTCCCCCCCACCTCCCCAGTTGTAACTCAAACATCCGACCCGTCACCTCTGCCCGCAAACCGGAGCGCCCCGAGCTGGAGGTGCCGCGGAGGACGCCATGGGACGATCCAAATGCTAATGCGATGGGTAAGATAGTCAGCTGTTTGTGTGGAAGTGTCCGTGGTTGAGAAGCAAAGTGGGTGTAACTGTACAAAGTGCCAGAAATCGGGTCGTTAAGGTTTGTTCCATGGAATAACCTGGAACGCGCTGGAAGGCTCTGCGTGAAGCCCGCACAAAAGAGTCTTTCAACCACTCTAGAGATTTTTAAAGTAAATGTCTTAATATTGTAGAGTATGTTGTATTTATTAGACTGATTGTTGCGGTTTCCTTAATGTGTAGGTCATTCTGTCTATAGTCAAAACTGATTTTACGCGCGCAAATCCAGAATTGTATTGGAAATAATTTCAGAATTTAATCGCTGATAGAAACGCATAATTTAGACTATAACAGTCGTGCACTTAAATGTGTGTGTGTGTGTGTGCGTGTGTGTGTGTGTGTGTGTGTGTGTGTGTGTGTGTGTGTGTGTGTGTGTGTGTGTGTGTGTGTGTGAAACCTGCGGGAAGGAGGCTGAAGGAATTAATTGAACAAAAAGAATAAACCTGATCAGTTTCAAACAGCAACATATGGCGTCAAAGTCGCACCACACTCCACTGTAATTGCCCGGTTATATCCAGATTGCAGACAAAAATGAAAACAATATATTGATGTTTTACAGTAATGACATCACATCTGTAATCCTGCTCATGGGTTGGAGAAGATGTATTATTGTGTACATTTACTCATTACAAAGCTTTGTCTAGGATTTTAGAAATACCGAGAACGTGAGTCTACCAAGTTCTTTGAACTCTCAAAATGTTGGCATTGCGCGAAATTAAAGGTTTCATTTGTGATTAATTAATTAACTGTTCATTTGTCTGTATTTCCCCATATGGCGGGTTAAAGTAGTCTCCACATTGTCAGCAATGAAGACATACTAGTTTAATTATTTATTGACCTTCAAGTAGCCATATTATTCCAATTTGACAAATTTCATTTGACCTCAGTTTTCTTAATGGTTGCTCTGGCCCTGACTATAGAATCTATAGTCAGCTCATATATAATATAATGCTCTGCTGACTGAGGACGTTTGGAGTGATATACTGCCACATGTTTTGGATAAGAGGCGTTAGGGCTGCAAGTATTAAAGGACAAAACTTACATTCATCTAGATAACAATGTCATGAAATGCATAAATGCATGACCATGAATGCATGGTCAATGGATGGATAGATGTATAATGGATGGATGGATTTTGGATGGATGGATTTTGGATGGATGACGGCTGCATGGTTGATGGATGATGGACACATGCTCGATGGATGGATACACAGTATGTATAATGGATGGATGGATTTTGGATGGATGGATGATGGACACATGGTCGATGTACGAATGGATTGATGATGATTTGATGGATGGATGGTCGATGGCTGAATGGGTGGATGGATAGATGGATGGATGGATTAACTGATAATGGATGAATGGTGGCTGGATGGATCATGCATGGATGACGGATGGATGGATGCATGGTCGATGGATGGCTGGATGGTGGATGAATGTATAAAGGTTGGTGGATGGATGAATGGTCAATGGGTGGATTTTGGATGGATGGATGGAGGGATGAATGATGGTTGGATGCTGACCTTTGAGTGAGTGTGTGTGTGGTGCTGACTGGCTGTGTCGGTGTAATCGACTCTCCGACCTTCGAGTTTGCTGATGCCCAGGGCTCCGTCTCTATGGAAACCCATTGCAATAGCCAGTGATGAGTTGACCGTCGGGGTGCTGATGAGAGGGGCGGCTCGCCGCAGTGATGCTGAGAGTTCAGGTGGATCATTGTGACTGAACGTGATTTCTAATATGTGAGTTTTGTGGCATTCAGCTCTGTGGAGGTTTTCTTTGACTTCAGTCTGGCTTCAGGCTTGTGGAGACAATGAGAAGGAGCCGGCACCTGTTGGTGGAGGTGTAAGCAGGTGCAACCATATAAATGTTATTATATATATTATATAATATACATGTGTGTTTTTATGCAAATAATTACTATAGATGATAATAACAAAGTATGGATAATGTTGACGATTTTGAACAGCAAACACTAACTTCAAGTTATTGTTCAGGACAGTAGTGAATAGATAGAATATAAGTAATTATAATAATAATTAAAAATAAATTATATTTATATATATTGGGTGTGTGTATTGGCAAACACCTAACGATGCGATACGTATCGCGATGTGTTTAAAGTGTTTGCAAACCAAAAGTTATTGACCTTTTGTTCATATAGCAGTACTTTTAAAATAAAAGTGCGCAAAACACTACTTTTGAATTCATTATTGAACTTTGCCATAACAATGCGATTAATCACGATTAAAAATTGTAATCGTTACCCAGCACTAATATATATATATATATATATATATATATATACTCTGTATCAATACACAAGTCAAAATCATTTTGTTTATTTCTACACACATTAAGTTTCGCTTTAACGCATTTTTGCTGCATTCATGTGGTGTCTGAATAATTGGAATACTCAGATATTGCTCAACACATGCTTGTTATAACAAGGATCTTTTTGTGTAATTATACATATCCTTTTTTTCACAAGACTCTTTCTTTATTTCACAAAACCAACATACGTGGTTAGACCGTTATCTGTTCCGCTCGTGTCCTCTCGGCTGAAGCTCCTCCTGCATCACACGCTCCTGAACGCACTGCTGCCGACCCTCGTCACAGGGAGCAGAGTAAATGAGATGATGATGATGATGATGATGACTTTACTTCAGTCACATCTCTTCACATCTGCCTGCTGGTGTTTCTACTATTCATCAGTGCGCATTGTTTTAAATGCTGCCCTGGTTCCTGGTTCATTGTATAAAACATGAGGGAAAGCTGAATATTAGCGATTCATAATTTAAATTCATAATCCTGCTCTAACATCAGGGATGAGTGATTTCCCTGGAGGGGGAACTGGTTTCCATCTGTCGCCACATTAAAGGTGGAGGAACTTTGCTGCCATCCCTTCAGTGTTTGGATTCTCTTTCCACCTGCTAATGGACACTTAATACCAGATTTATTGCATAAATCATGAAGGGAAAGTGACTTTTAAAATGCATATTCTCTCTCTCTCTCCAGCTAGTGTCATTTCAAAGAGATTATAAAAAGACTTCTTGACCTGTTCACAGTAATTGCTTGTGTCACCTTTTCCCTAAGTTATGTCTCCTTCTGTTTTACACTTAAAAAAATGAATTCTAATGTTTTTTGGAAACTCCTTATTTATTACCTTTTAATCTAGAAAGTCTTTTTGTTTTCCCCGTCCGTCTGTCTTTTTGTCGTAGTCACGTCTCTCTTTTCCCATACTGCGGAGGATGTGGAGTAAAGCTTGCAGCCACCAGACTATTATCATGTTCTGTATCCATAATGTGCAGCAAGACGAACAACGAGGCGTCGTTAACGCTCCTGCGGTGCTTCGGTGTTGGCGGAGGTTTGCGCTCTGTCTGCTTATTGTCTAATTGCCAGGTTGCTCTGGGAGCACTCAGCTCAACGCCTTGGACTCCAACATGTTTAATGGAATGCAGTGCGCCCATGAAATGCTAACCATAAACGAGAGGCTTATGTAGTTGTTCATCTCGTTACATAACCGTCTGAACCTGGAGGCCAGGCTGGAGTTTTTCTCTTTGTTTATAACTTTGAACCACATTAACACAAACTCATGCACATCTAAACACACAGATACCAATCCTGAATCAGTGCACTGCACACTTTCCAGGGAGATCAATATTGTTGATGTTCATAGCGGGGAAGAATCCATAAATCTGCTTAGAAGTAATTAAAGAAATGGAAGCTGCCTCATAATCTGCAGGTTTGTAAAACTAATGCAATGATTTCTGTTTGATTCATCCACTCTGATGAGTAGAATACAAGCCGTGCTGAGACACACGTAGAAACATCAGCAACAAAGTTCAAAGTTTGAGATTCTTGTGTGCAGCCAAAGATAGAAGCTCTTTGTGGTTGTTTGTCTCTTTCTTTCTCTTTGTAGCTACTTTGGTCTCTTAGTCTTTTGTGTTTTGTGTTTCTTTGCGGTCTTTTGTGTCTTTTTGAAGTTCTTCTGAGTCACTAATTAATTGTTTTGAGTGTTTTTTTTGCCCTTTCTTTGTGGTGGTTTTGCATCCCTTTGTTTAGTGTCTCTCTGTAGTTCCTTAGTGTCTCTCTGTAGTTCCTCAGT